CATCACTCACTACACACCTACACACTACCGTCAGTTGTGGACACATTGAAAGCGTCATTTGTTACTATACTCTACCAGCCAAAATTACGCCTTAACAGTTAAAGCAGAAATCATTATATTAGGTTAGTTTAATATATAAAGAGTTTAAATGAGACTAATGGATAACCTAAGTTTTTAAATAAATGGTTTATTTAGGGACTAAAGTTTACTAATGTTAGGTTTGCTAACACCCGCTGGTAAGGTGGGGGGGGGCCGACTTGTGAGATTTATATTCTATTTAATTTATATGAATATATAGAATTTATATTTTACGTTTATTTATATATTTCAATAGCAAATGGTATGATGTTTAGTGGTCTGTACTTTTCGAATTCCCGCAAATCAACTCCTTTACACATTATGGGGGTTTATATTATTTATATATTTATTCAACCAAAATTATTGATTAGCAGACATTCACTACAGTATTAAACTACATATATTAGTTATTACAATTGAGAGACCTTATCTTTTAAGGCTGATTTTGTCGTGGACGACCAGTAGGAACACGGCTGAACAAGCCAGACGATCCACTTTGTGGGTGTGGCTGGCCTCCAACTAATGTACTGGAGTACTAGCCTACTAGTGCTAATTCTTGTTCCTCTTCTGTTAAACCTGTCAAAGGCCACTTGCAATAATAGCAGTAATGCCATATATATGACAGCTATATCAGAGGAAATATTGGTATACTGATAAGATAAAGAGCAAGGAATATTTACTTGGGTTATGTCGCTGCCTCACGTCCTAACTGGGAAAATAATCCTATCTACCTAACATTATTTTCCCAGGAATAACTTTAAGATTTCGGATGGACACTTCCCTTATTTAGATGATGACTGTGTTGATGATGGAAGCATTAATTTACTCTAGAACACTTGGTCCAAGGGAGTATTATTGGAGCGGTTCTCTTCCTGCGACTTGTTGATTAATAAAGGCTGACCTCCTCCACTGACGCCCTGGCGCTCCTGTCCACATGTCAAGAAGTGGTAGACAGGTCACATTTACTCTGTTTTGGTACTAATAATTAAGTTAATTCAACGTTAATTTAATTCAAGTAAGACGGTTTTATGTTGTTTAAAGGCCAATGACTGTGGTATTAAGAATGTTCCCAACAGAATTAGCTGGTGAATCTAATAGCGCCATGTGGCAATGATATCTCGTTTTCCTCGGGAGGAAAATTCCCGAGTTCCCCGTCTTCTGTGGGAATATACACTGTTTCTAGGGTTGATTTGTTATTTACAAACAGCAGCAATATTATCTGCTTATTGTACTGAATATTGGTAAATGGTGTCATGTTTTCTGACAGTGGGGAGAAGGGTCCCTAGCCTCGCCACACCCGCTACTGGTGTGGTGGTTGGGGGGGGGGGAGCCTCGCCACACCCGCTACTGGTGTGGTGGTGGTGGGGGGGGGGAGCCTCGCCACAACACAGTCAAGTTGATGAAATGTGTAGGATACATGGCTCCTCTACCCACCTTGCTGACGCCTTATTCTCTACTCCACTTCGACTCCCTTCACATCCCCCTCACCCCGTCGCTTCTCCCCCCTCACCCCCCACACTTGGAGCATAGCCCCCCACCCCCTCCCACGTGGTGATCCACAGAGCACATACGGGCGCCGAGGTCGACCGTAAATTAATAATCTCAGGTCGAGGTTAACCTCACGGCACTTGGGAGCTCGTAAGCTGTATAGTAAATACCGACCACGCCGCCATGACCGAGGTAAGAGGTGCAGGGCGTTAGGTCTTACAGCCCCCCGTCCCCTCCTCTCCCCCCTCTCTCTATCCTCTATCTCCGTGTCTCCGAGGGGGGTAGAAATAGCCTAAGCTACTCTATCCCTTTGAGATGTATTTATTGCTTATCTCAATAAACATACTTGAATCCGTGTCTCCCCCCTCCGTGTCTCCCCCCTCCGTGTCTCCCCCCTCCGTGTCTCCCCCCTCCGTGTCTCCCCCCTCCGTGTCTCCCCCCTCCGTGTCTCCCCCCTCCGTGTCTCCCCCCTCCGTGTCTCCCCCCTCCGTGTCTCCCCCCTCCGTGTCTCCCCCCTCCGTGTCCCAGGCCCCCCCACGTCCCAGGCCCCCCCACACTGAGCGTGGTGGTGTGTCTCCTGCAGGTGCGTGAGGTGATGGAGCTGACGGTGCGCGGGGAGGTGCAGCCCGGCCCCAGCAGCGGCTACGTCACCATCCTGAGGGAGGAGCCGCCCCTAGCCCGCTCCTGCGTCCCTGTCGTCCAGGACCTCGTCATGTTCGCCGTCCAGGGAGGTACGTGCACCTGGGGCAGGGGGGGGGTGGAGAGTAGGTTGGGTGGAAAGAAATGAAATGAAAAGGGCAGAGAGGGTGGAATGGGTTTTTAGAAAGAGAGAAAGAGAGAGAGAGAGAGAGAGAGAGGTAGGTTTGAATAAGAGGACAGGGGAATGGGAAAGATGCGTGTCTGATGAAAGAGAAGGGAAAGAGGTGCCGGGAGATGAGGGTGAGGGACAGGGGTGAGAGCGGGGCTGAGGCTGACCCGTGACGTATATGAGGTGAACTACAACAGGAACACTCACTAATGAGGAGAGTTTCACAAGTGAATGATAATGATGGGGAGGTGCGGTGAGGCTGGGTGGAGGGGTGAGGCTGGGTGGAGGGGTGAGGCTGGGTGGAGGGGTGAGGCTGGGTGGTGGGTGAGGCTGGGTGGAGGGGTGAGGCTGGGTGGAGGGGTGAGGCTGGGTGGAGGGGTGAGGCTGGGTGGAGGGGTGAGGCTGGGTGGAGGGGTGAGGCTGGGTGGAGGGGTGAGGCTGGGTGGAGGGTGAGGCTGGGTGGTGGGTGAGGCTGGGTGGAGGGTGAGGCTGGGTGGAGGGTGAGGCTGGGTGGAGGGGTGAGGATGGGTGGGGCTGGGTGGAGGGGTGGGGCTGGGTGGAGGGGGGTGGAAGAAACACAACAAAGGCAGCAGAACGCGACTCACCACCTGAACTAAGCCCACCAGCCGACTATCACAAGGAAAGATGGCCACACCCGACTCACGAGACCCCTAAAGGCTGCTGGATGTCCCTGATGGGAAAGAATGGCGATTGAATTATAATAAATTGCTGGAAATTGGGATACATGTGTCCCCAGGTGGGCGGTATAGATGGACGCTAACCAGTGAATCCCCCACCTCTCAGTGGTGGGTTGTGGGTACAGCCCACCTCTCCTGATCAGGGGGAGGGGGGAGAGAGGTCTGGATTGGGAGGGGTCTGATGAGGGGGCTGGGTATTGGGGGTCTGATGAGGGGGCTGGGTATTTGGGGTCTGATGAGGGGGCTGGGTTTTTGGGGTCTGATGAGTGGGCTGGATATTGGGGGTCTGAGGGGGCTGGATATTGGGGGTCTGAGGGGACTGGATATTGGAGGTCTTATGAGGGGGGGCTGAGTATTGGGGGCCTGATGAGGGGGCTGGATATTGGAGGTCTGATGAGGGGGGGGCTGAGTATTGGGGGCCTGATGAGGGGGCTGGATATTGGGGGTGTCAGGGGCCGCCGTTGTGAGTGGGGGCCGGCGGAGGCTCCCTGATGTGGAAGGTGATTACTGGGAGAGGAAAGGCATTATTTTGTAAGGCCGGGTAATTGGCTGAAATGTGTTGGTTAGTGGGTGTCGTGGGGAGTTAGTTTCTGTCGTGAGGGGGGGGGGTTATTGGGCGTCGTGGGGGGTGGGGGGGGTGTTAGTGGGCGTCGTGGGGGTGGGGGGGGGGTGTTAGTGGGTGTCGTGGGATGGTTAGTTTCTGTCCTGGGAGAGGGGTGTTAGTGGGCGTCGTAGAAGAGTAAAAGTGCGTCGTTTGTTCGAAATGGGGAAGAGTGGGAGACAGACAGAGGTCCACGGGAAGATGAATGTTGTGAGAGGGATGCCAGAGTGGTGTGTGGGGGGGGGAGGGGAACGGTGAGGTAAACACAGTACCACTGTGATAGACAGCTTCCACTCACCCTCAGTACTGTGACGGAGGACTAAGAGACCCCGGTATGGATGGTTTTGGCGGGGTAGGGGTACCATGGAGTCTGGTGGCGGGGGGGAGGGGGGTACCATGTGTGGTTGAGACATGGTATCTCTGACAGAAGACACAAAGTGGGGATGTTTGTGGTGGCGGGAGGTGCAGGCGGGCGGCTGTTGTGTTAGCAAAGTGCTCCTCTGGCTGCACTTTGAAGAAAACTTGGCCCACCTTCAGCAAGGGAACCCGGGGAAACTGTTTTCTGTTTACCAAAACTGGTTTCGAAGTTTAGGCAATCCAGGGTCCCCCCCCCCCCCACCCAGGGCAGGAGTTGAGGGGTAGTTGAATGTCAACTGAAACAGTATTGATAAACAAGGTTTATAGAATTTTGGTGATACACAACCCTCCTATACTGTGGTGCTAAAGTTGTAAACATTGATATCATGTTGCATAATGAAAGGTGTGGTAGCGATGGTTGGGCTCTGTTCATGGGAACTGTTGTGGCTGGCAGACCAAAATTCTAAATGATTCGCTTTTATAACCCGTTTCTATTTACAAATGTTTATATATTATTTGTTCTAGAATTCTGTCTATATAAATTGACGATTAATAATGTAAAGCAAATGAATCAATATTGAGGGTGTGTGCGGTGGTATCGAACCCTCGACCACCGATCACTTGAGGCACACATGCACCTCAGTATTCATTCATACCTTCGTCACGTTGTGATTTTCATTAGACAATTGTATTGTTGTGGTAGTGAAAGTGTGTTACTAAGTCGTCTTCTCTTCCTCAATCTGTCAGGGATTCAGTCAGGTAATGCATCATCTGTTTTAAGCATCCTCACATGTTTATTAAGCATCCTCACATGTTTATTAAGCATCCTCACATGTTTATTAAGCATCCTCACATGTTTATTAAGCATCCTCACATGTTTATTAAGCATCCTCACATGTTTATTAAGCATCCTCACATGTTTATTAAGCATCCTCACATGTTTATTAAGCATCCTCACATGTTTATTAAGCATCCTCACATGTTTATATAGTGTTCATCACTTTAGATTTATTACCTAAAATTCCGACCCAATTTTGTGCATGGTTTATCATTAGTCCCTAAACACCTGTGTATTGCCCCGTAAACAACTGCAACTCAACACCTTCACTTCTATGGTTAAAGTTTCGTGTAGATAATGTGTCGTTCCCAGTAAAGGAACCGTTATCACCCGCCTCCTCGCTATCGTAGATTGGTCCTTATGGCGCAGTCTTCCGGGCACGTGGCCTTAGGACGGTCCACGTCCACGATAGACCTAAGATCGTCCTCAAGCGCCAAGGATAACCTTGTTGTGGATAACCTCGTGGCACTTGAGAGCTCGTAAACTGTTTAGTAAATACCAGCCGCCATGATGGAGGTAAGGGGAAGGGTTCTCTTAAGCGAGCACGTAAGTACTTTGTGAATACCGGGCGTGCTCGGGTCAGGAAGCACCACCACCTCTCAACTTGCCACTCCGTAAAAAATGCAACTGTTTTGCCTAGCCAGAAACGTACGAACCCAAGCAACCTACCTAACCTATCGAGGCCAATGGTTAGAAAACTTCAGTATTACGATGCTTCAATTTGTACTAATACGTCGCATTTTTAACGGATTGGTCGATTCCGTGAAGTATGCGACGCATTGACCTTCTCGCCGAGTATATTATATAGTGACAACCTTTATATCTCGGCTGATATAACCAACTCTTGCAACCCGACCTCCTCTTTAGATAGTACTTATTGTAACTATGTGCCCCATCGTCCATATATTGACGTAGTAGACAGTTTTTGAATAGTAACATTTGGTACTATTCACTTTATAAGAGTCCGGAACAAATAAAGCTAAAAACCAGACTTAAATATTCCTGGGCCTAGTATAGTACATATATGTACTATATTAGGCCTGAGATAGCGGGTATGAGGCCCATGATGGCTGGTGCACATATGGTGACTGTAAGACACATAAGGACTGGCTGGATCATGTGGTTACTTTAGTGTATATCAGCCAGTCAGCGGGCCGAGAGAGACCGTATCCTCATCTCATTGGTCATCATGTAATAAGTGAACCAATCAGCGTGCAGGTTAACTTTTACTACGCGCTATTGGCGCCTTTATCGGACGACGTCCAATCAGCGTTCACGGTAATCTTGCGTATCATAATGGCTCAATTACTGGCTTAACTCATGCACCAGATGTAACAAATATTATTGACTGTCAACCCAAGCTTGGGAGATTATTGACCGATTTGGTAAGGAAACGTTTGGGTAAAGGTCACCGTTTACAACCTGTCGTATTTAATCTTGGATCAAATACAAAAAAATAACCACGTTTAAATTAACATTTTACAGCAAGTAGCATGACTGGTTTAACGCATCTGCCAAATTTTGTCAAGATCTCTTGAGCTTATCTGAAGAAATTATGCTGCATGTGACTGTAATATTTTTTTGGAAAAACCGAAAATGCTTAATTTAGGTGAACGTAATAGTATGGTGATTCAGTGTGTGGTAAAGTGAATAATATTTTGGTAAAGTCGCCTTGAAGATGTTACCACCCGTGACCAATGAAGCTTTTAGCCCAACTTCAGCCGAACTCTACAAGTGTGACCGAACAAGTGCTCTCCAAACTAGCCTGGACCCCTAGCCAGGCTTGGGGGGGAGGGGCTAGAAGAACTCTGGAAACCGACTACAGGTAAGATTATACAACATGCACGACAGCTGTCTTAAAGGGCGTCCATATCAATACATGAAGTATATGATCTTAATGTCCCGATATGTAAACAAAACAGTTCCCGCCAACCCTTCAGCTGTCAATGTCTACCAAATCTTAGTTGTTAACATTGTATGTTTATATATACGTAACACGAGTGTATAAATACGCAAGTACGCAAAGGCCATCGTGACGCAACTCTACCCTCATGTCCCATAACTCAACCCGTTCTCGCACTTGCTTATAGTCAATATTGGCTTATTTAATAAGTGCATATGTGACATATTAATTGATTGTAAATATTTTAGTTTACCTTGAAAAGCTTCATAGAAAACACCGACCTCACCTAACCTTCTTAGTATGTTAAGATAAGCATCTTATTGCTTCTTAATTACAATTATTACTTAACCTATACCGTTGATAGGTATAGGTACTCTGTACTCGGTCCTATCTTGTTTCTGATATATGTAAATGATCTCCCGGAGGGTATAGATTCATTTCTCTCAATGTTTGCTGACGATGCCAAAATTATGAGAAAGATTAAGACAGAGGAGGACAGCAGCTTGAGGCTTCAAGAAGACCTAGACAAGCTGAAGGAATGGTCGAACAAAACCTAAAAAACTCTAAACATGGTTGAACTCTAACATGGTTGTTAGAGTTTAACCCAAGCAAATGTAATGTAATGAAGATATGCGTAGGAAGCAGGCCAGATACTAGGTATCATCTGGGAGATGAAATTCTTCACGAGTCAGAGAGAAAAAGACTTGGGAGTTGATATCACGCCAGACCTGTCTCCTGCAGCACATATCAAGCGGATAACATCAGCGGCATATGCCAGGCTGGCCAACATACGAACGGCATTCAGAAACTTGTGTAAAGAATCATTCAGAACTTTGTATACCACATATGTCAGGCCAATCCTGGAGTATGCAGCCCCAGCATGGAGTCCATATCTAGTCAAGGATAAGACTAAACTGGAAAAGGTTCAAAGGTTTGCCACCAGACTAGTACCCGAGCTGAAAGGTATGAGCTACGAGGAGAGACTGCGGGAATTAAACCTCACTTCGCTGGAAGACAGAAGAGTTGGGGGGGACATAATCACCACATTTAAGATTCTGCAGGGAATTGATAGGGTAGATAAAGACAACCTATTTAACACAAGGGGAACACGCACTAGGGGACACAGGTGGAAACTGAGTGCCCAAATGAGAGACAGAGATATTAGAAAGAACTTTTTTAGTGTCAGAGTGGTTAACAAATGGAATGCATTAGGAAGTGATGTGGTGGAGACTGACTCCATACACAGCTTCAAGTGTAGATATGATAGAGCCCAGTTGGCACAGGAACCTGTACACCTGTTGATTGACAGTTGAGAGGCGGGACCAAGGAGCCAGAGCTCAATCCCCGCAAGCACAACTAGGCAAGTACACACAGCTACTTTGTTTCTCACGATATTGACCAACTTAAACAGCCTATCTCTTATATATTTCGTCTGTACCTTAGAAGATTCTGTATATCTGGAACACTTTTGGATCTAGATCTTTTTCTAGTGGCATTAGGTTCGGCTCACTCGGGCTCTCCCCGTACATCAGTAACTTCAATTGTGGTATCAGTCATGTAGCAAACTATTGTAGTTTCTCATAGCTTTGTGTCTTTTGACGTGGGGGCGCTGCACACACTGCCAGTCGTCTGACGTATGTCGTATATACCTTTTAGAATGTGTTCCTCTGGACATAGATGTAATGTTACGTGTTGCTGTCACTGACCCCGGGGTCACGTAACACCTCGCCTGGCAGCGGGAACATACTCATGTACGTGAAGGTAATACAGTCTTGGTGTATTAAAGTGGAACAACTGGCAAATTATATGTAGATATACCTTATGGAAGCTGTGTTGCTGGTGTCAGAGGTGACCTCGTGTACCTGTACACACACACACGCACATGTGTGCCTGTGTGTGTGGACAGGCGTCATTGCTGTAAACAAGCGATGGCTGGAAAGGCGGGATCCAAGCGTCAATGCTCGATCCTGCAAGCACAAATAGGTGAGTACAAATAGGTGAGTATTTGTGTTTACCTATTTGAGTACACACACACACACACACACACACACACACACACACACACACACACACACACACACACACACACACACACACACACACACACACACACACACACACAGACGTAACACAAACAACAACACTGATACACAACCAACCATGCTACAACATTGAGGGTGAGTGTGTGATGCAGTAGTTGCTCGCACCATAATGTGTGAGAGGTGTGGACAGGGGAGTTGTACTTCGGCTCTTGGGACGCGCCTCTCAACCTTCAATCTACTTGGGTATAGGTTCCCGAGCCCTTTGAGCGCTGGCATACACATTTGTAGCTGTAAGGGGAGGAATATTTCTTCACATTTATTTATAAAATATACATAAACATAATGGTGATTAATTAGTAGGTATTTGAAATGTATCAAGCGCTTCCGTGTTGGGTTGTGTGTACTTGTGTATCTGTAGGGTCGAGCTTCAGCCCTCGGGCTCCCTCTTTCCAGTCGCCTATGTAAAGAAATTTAATTTTTAGGTGGTTGGGATTGACAGAAGAATTGCTTCAAGTTCAGAGTTCTTGGAACTGTGTGTTTCTTAGCCTATCCTGTCCTGTCCTGCCCTTAGTCTTTCCTGTCCTGTCCTTAGCCTATCCTGTCCTGTCCTTAGCCTGTCCTGTCCTGCCCTTAGCCTATCCTGTCCTGTCATTAGCCTATCCTGTCCTGTCCTTAGCCTATCCTGTCCTGCCCTTAGCCTATCCTGTCCTGCCCTTAGCCTATCCTGTCCTGCCCTTAGCCTATCCTGTCCTGCCCTTAGCCTGTCCTGTCCTGCCCTTAGCCTCCTGCCCTTAGCCTGTCCTGTCCTGCCCTTAGCCTATCCTGTCCTGTCATTAGCCTATCCTGTCCTGTCATTAGCCTATCCTGTCCTGGCCTTAGCCTATCCTGTCTTGCCCTTAGCCTGTCCTGTCCTGCCCTTAGCCTATCCTGTCCTGTCATTAGCCTATCCTGTCCTGCCCTTAGCCTATCCTGTCCTGTGCCTATCCTGCCCTTAGCCTATCCTGTCCTGTAATTAGCCTGTCCTGTCCTGCCCTTAGCCTATTCTGTCCTGCCCTTAGCCTATCCTGTCCTGCCCTTAGCCTATCCTGTCCTGTCATTAGCCTATCCTGTCCTGTCCTTAGCCTGTCCTGTCCTGCCCTTAGCCTGTCCTGTCCTGCCCTTAGCCTATCCTGTCCTGTCATTAGCCTATCCTGTCCTGTCCTTAGCCTATCCTGTCCTGCCCTTAGTCTATCTTGCCCTGTTATTAACATGTCCTGTCCTTAGCCTATCCTGTCCTTAGCCTATCCTGTCCTGTCCTTACCCTAGCCTGTCCTGTCCTTAGCCTATCCTGTCCTGTCATTAGCCAATCCTGTCCTGTGCCTATCCTACTCTAATCCTTGACCTAAAAACCCTATTTTTGTATTCCACTTTTACTCCAGATAAAAAATATAAAAATACAGAAAGGCGATATTGATACAAATGCGCACACATGACTACATAAGCGTATGTATACACATGCATGTATGTATGTACATGAATATGTATGAAATGCGAAAAGGTTTCCACAGCATCCAATGTCCAACGTTTGAGGCCCGCGGCCCGCGAGGCTTCGGCTCTTGGTTCCCGCCATTCTTTAGTCATCTGTTGTGGCATAGTTGTTGTGGTGGCACAGTGGCGACACAGTTGCTGTGGCGGCACAGTTGCTGTGGTGACACAGTTGCTAGGGTTCAAGAGCCTGGGCCCATAAAGCAACATTGGGGCCAAAGTTATGGATAAACTTAATAATTCCTTTCTTAATAATAACTTTCCGACTCCAGAGGTGTACAAAGGATAAGTTAAGACCTGACACACAAGATATTTTATTTTCCTGCATTATTGTAGACTCGATCCCCTGAGTACCAGGGGCCAGATTCACGAAAGCACTTACGCAAGCACTTACGAACCTATACATCTTTTCTCAATCTTTGGCGGCTTTATTTCCAATTATCAAACAATTAATGAGCTCCGAAGCACCAGGAGGCTGCTTATAACAATAACAACAGTTGATTGGGAAGTTTTCATGCTCGTAAACTGTTTAATAAATGTGATCAAAGCCGTCAAAGATTGAGGAAAGATGTACACGTTCGTAAGTACTTGCGCAAGTGCTTTCGTGAATCTGTCCCCAGGTCCCAGTTCGAAGCTCCCAACGTTCAATTAAATTGTATGTTATTACCTTCAGGGAGAGGATTCACGAAGACATTTACGCTGTCCCTTGCGAAACCTGTACATCTTTTTTCAATCATAAAGGCTTTGTTTACTTTTGTTAAACAGTTTACGAGCACCTTCACAATCTCGGGTTGTGAAGGTTATGAACAACCTCGTAGTGCTTCGGAGCTCATTAAACTGTTTATTAAGCCGGCATGACTAAGGAAAGATGTACAGGTTTCGTAAAGGGGGGGGGGTTGATGAGTCCTGGCCGTGCTCCCTTATACTGACCGTCCTCCCTCACACTCGGGGTGACATTTCCCTTGCTGTTTCCAACACAAAAATGTGTGTACACACACACACACACACACACACACACACACACACACACACACACACACACACACACACACACACACACACACACACACACACACATGACGTATGTAATGTCGTATATTCTGGCAAGTGAAAACTGAATAATTGGTTTACTGAATCCAATTATTAGTAATTGTGTGGCGCTCTGGTGCTCGTCCCCCCACCCCGTCCCCCCTCCCCACCTCTCCTCCCCCCCCCATCCCCCTTCTCCCCCTTCCCCCCCCCCCCCCAATTGACAAACTCCTGTCAGTGTTTCCAGCTTCCACCCATGTCCCCTCGTTCTGTTACTGTTCCGTGTGAACATTTCGACTCTGTCCACTCTGTCAATCTCCCCTGAGTATTTTATACGTTCCTATCATATCCCCTCTCTCTCCCTTCTTTTTTTTCTAGTGTCGTAAGGCACAGTTCCTTCAGGCGCTCCTCATACCCCCATCCCTCGTAGCTCTGGGACGGGTCTCGTTGCAAACTTCTTAACATTTTTCCAGTGTCCTTCTATGCTTGTTCAGGTGTGTGTGTGTGTGTGTGTGTGTGTTTGTGTGTGTGTGTGTGTGTGCGTGCGTGCGTGCGTGCGTGCGTGCGTGCGTGCGTGTGTGTGTGTGTGTGTGTGTGTGCAGAATCGAGCTCTTAGCTCTCGGACCCCGTCTTTCTAACCATGGGTTGTCTAATATACTGTTTTCCTGTCATGTTTGTCAACCCCGTAAATGACAGACTGACTGACTTAGAGACCGAGAGACTTCACTGGCTTAAGTGAGAGACACCATTGAGAGAAAGGCTGACTTACTGACTGAGAAACTGGATGAGATGAGAGAGACTTGACACGACTGAGTGACGCGACTGAGTGGTAGGGCTGAGTGGCACGACTGAGTGACAGGACTGAGTGGCACGACTGAGTGACAGGACCTGGTGAGCACCAACCACTGGAGGCGGGTCATCGTGAAGGTACAAGGTCAGAGTCAAAGGTCACCAGCCAATGGGAGTGTTGCCACAGTAACGAGGTTAGGGTGTGTTGGACGTGTTGACAGTCTGTGGGTGGAGCTGAGGACTGGTAATCTGCTTACTCCCCTCTCCTGGCTCCCCTCTCCTGCCCTCTCTTTCCCCTCTCCTGCCCTCTCTTTCCCCTCTCCTGCCCTCTCTCCTGCCCTCTCTTTCCCTCTCCCCCTCTCTCCCCTCTCCTGCCCTCTCTTTCCCCTCTCCTGCCCTCTCTTTCCCCTCTCCTGCCCTCTCTTTCCCCTCTCCTGCCCTCTCTTTCCCCTCTCCTGCCCTCTCTTTCCCCTCTCCTGCCCTCTCTTTCCCCTCTCCTGCCCTCTCTTTCCCCTCTCCTGCCCTCTCTTTCCCCCCTCTCCTGCCCTCTCTTTCCCCTCTTTCCCCCTCTCCTGCCCCTCCCCCCTCTCCTGCCCTCTCTTTCCCCCTCTCCTGCCCTCTCTTCCCCCTCTCCTGCCCTCTCTTCCCCCTCCCCTGCCTTCTCTTCTCCCTCCCCTGCCTTCTCTTCCCGCCTCCCTTCACAAACCACACTACCACAACACTAACATCCTACCACAGCACAGCAGCACACTAGCACAGGTCCTCGTGGCTGACCGCACACCGCTCAGGGGCCGAGACAGAAACAAATGCTCAGAGTTCATTTTACCTGATGCCCCTGTTCACCCATCAGTAAATAGGTACCTGGGAGTTTGACAGCTGATGCGGGCCGCATCCTGGGGGTGCATGCGTGAGTTTTAGAGAGCAATATATGTCGAAGATATCATGTTAGAAAAATAAGTCTGGAGTCAGTACATTAGACAACCGATGGTTAGAAAGGCGGGGCCCAAAAGCTAACAGCTGGAGCCTGCAGGCACAAGGTGGTAAATACCGTACCACACCACCACACCACACCACCACACTACCACCACAGCCATTATTGCTGCGCTATCTACCAGAATGTTTACGAGGGCCACTAACACAATAATGGCCTCGACGAGGACAGGAAGCCGGCGGCTTGTCAAAGGTCCCTTCCACCCCATTTGTCCTGATGATTTTTTCAAGCTGGATTTTATAATTCAACAGTTTTGGCATTTATGGATTCGGCGGGTAGGCGGTTCCACGGAGGCGCACCAGAGATTTATACGATTTAATTACTACCTTCTTTTCCTTAAGTCAAAAGTACGCTTTATTATTCCTAAGGTTTGTTTTTTTTTTTTTTTTTTTTTTTTTTGTTTTTTTTTTACTGTAGCTCCCACTTGTGCAACTTTGAGTGAATGATGAACTGTGACTCCAAAGGTTGTTGTCTTCAGCAGTTTACTGCAAGGTAATGTTGTTAACTTGGTAGTTGTGACGTGGATTGTTGTGTTATATGGCGGTATATCCTTCAACATGTCACTTGAAGGTGTAACTTGGTGTTCACATCTATTTGATAACGGCAAAGTTCCAACGAACCTGTCTAACACAGCAAACGTTATTTTACTATCGTTCGTTACAACGCTGTAACAAAGTAAAAAAAAATGGAGTTACTTTGCTAGGAAGCGGCGGTAAACAATGTGCAAGAGCTCCCTTAACTCTCTAAACTCTCAAGTTACAATATGAGAGGACAGTTTATTATAGTGTTTTTTCTTGTCTTTTTATTTACTGCAATTTGGCATCTGTCAGCACGTTTTGTAAGTGAGAATCACCAGTTTACCCGGAATGACTTAATTTGTATAGAAAACGAGTAGTATTGTATATGTCTGCCTTCAGTTATCACTTTAGTTTTATGCACCCTACACTCACCCTTTACAAACACGCATGTTACGGTCTGATATTAAGCTCTATAGGATATAGTGTCGTAGATACCTAAATTGAGATTACCTTTTCCATGTCTTAACTGCATCCGCCATTTTCAAGTCTTGTATTCCCTTGTGTGCCCAATTCACTGCGTTTACATAGATCTTGTGAGAGATAAAGTATAATATTACTGTGGTGGCTCATTTGTCTGCTGGAGAACTATGACCAGCTTACTGGATATATCTAGAATTCTCTGAGTACCTATAAGTTTCTCTTGCTATATATGTAGCGGACAGTTGAGGTGGGTAATGTGTGACAGTTGTGTCTTGGTGGCAGGTTGCTACGACGCCAGGATCCGGGTGCTGATCATGCACGTCACCTGTCTCCTCCACGTCAGCGTCGACCTCCTGGAGATGTACGAGGAGTCGGTCCTCGAGTACCTTACCATGGAGCAGAACCCCGTCACCGAGTGAGTCCTCACACTGCCTCCAGTCAAGGCCCTCGTGGGCGCAGGTAGGAGAGGAAGAGAGGGAGGAAAGGAGGTAACAGGATAGAGAAAAAGAACCATTCGTTGGAGACAGCATAAAGCTCATCTTTAGCCATCATCTCGCAAGCAGCCTAGAACTTCCACACTTGTGGAGCTGAAAATGTTTTTATTTCAGTACAGCATATTACATAAATGAGGAAGGAGGTGATGGTAATGTTAATATGGATATATATTATTGTAGGGAGGAAGAGAAGGAGATGGCGAAGCGAGAGCGGTACAAGAAGATCAAGCGGTACACTGCCATAGGTCTGGCCACACTAGGGGGCGGGGCTGTCCTGGGCCTTACTGGCGGCCTCGCAGCCCCGTTTATTGGCGCTGGTCTCGGCACCATCATTGGTGCAGGTAAGTCTTTACACATCATGGTCTCGGCACCATCATTGGTGCAGGTAAGTCTTTACACATCATGGTCTCGGCACCATCATTGGTGCAGGTAAGTCTTTACACATCAGTAATGTACCAATACTTGAAGTTTGTGTACAAAGCTATTAAAGCAGTGCTTCAGTAGTGGTTTGTACAATTTGGATCCAGTCTTAATGACGCGGATAAAAAACGCTCTTAGTAAGATGATTAATAAGATCTTAGTAAGTATCTTAGTAAGATAGATGACAGCTATCTCAGAAGGGGCTATTAATTATAGGAACACTCATGTATTGGTCATTAGTCCTTCTACAGATTCCTTTTGTTCTTATGTCCATTTGCTAATATTTCAAGACATTGGTTTTAATCTCGCATGTCACCTTCATGTTTCCTGCCTATATACTGTATTTAAGTATTGTATTGTATTTCATTTTATGGGCTATTCATGCCCGTGCCACCTCTTGGGTGGCTTAGTCTTCATCAATCAATCTGTGTTTCATTCTGTTGAAGATGTGATGATTATAATTTAAGGGCTCAAGTAATTCCTTGTTTTATTAGCATGTATATATGTACTCACCTAGTTAGGCTTGCGGTGGTTGGGCTTTGTCTCTTTGGTCCCGCCTCTCAACAGTCAATCAACTGGTGTACAGATTCCTGAGCCTACTGGGCTCTATCATATCTACATTTAAAACTGTGTATGGAGTCAGCCTGCACCACATCACTTCCTAATGCATTCCATTTGTCAACCACTCTGACACTAAAAATGTTCTTTCTAATATCTCTGTGGCTCATTTGGGCACTCAGTTTCCACCTGTGTCCCCTAGTGCGTGTGTCCCTTGTGTTAAATAGCCTGTCTTTATCTACCCTGTCGATTCCCTTGAGAATCTTGAATGTGGTGATCATGTCCCCCCCCTAACTCTTCTGTCTTCCAACAAAGTGAGGTTTAATTCCCGTAGTCTCTCCTCGTAGCTCATACCTCTCAGCTTGGGTACTAGTCTGGTGGCAAACCTTTGAACCTTTTCCAGTTTAGTCTTATGCTTGACTAGATATGGACTCCATGCTGGAGCTGCATGCTCCAGGATTGGTCTGACATATGTGGTATATAATTTTTTTTTGAGATATATACAAGAGTTGTTACATTCTTGTACTGAAAGATGTTCTGAAAGATTCCTTACACAAGTTTCTAAAGGTCGTTCTTATGTTTGCCAACCTGGCATATGCTGCTGATGTTATCCTCTTGATATGAGCTTCATGGGACAGGTCTGGCGTGATATCAACCCCCAGGTCTTTTTCTCTCTCTGACCCTTGCAGTATTTCATCTCCCAAATGATACCTTGTATCTGGTCTCCTGCTCCCTACACCTATCTTCATTACATTATATTTGCTTGGGTTAAACTCTAACAACCATTTGTTTGACCATTCCTGCAGCTTGTCCAGGTCATCTTGAAGCCTCAAGCTGTCCTCCTCTGTCTTAATCCTTCTCATAATTTTGGCATCATCAACAAACATTGAGAGGAATGAGTCTATACCCTCTGGGAGAACATTTATGTATATCAGAAACAGGATAGGTCCGAGTACAAAGCCCTGTGGGACTCCACTGGTGACTTCACGCCAATCTGAGGTCTCACCCCTCACTGTAACTCTCTGCTTCCTATTGCTTAGGTACTCCTTTATCCACTGAAGCGCCCTACCAGTTACTCCTGCCTGTTTCTCCGGCTTATGCATCAGCCTTTTATGGGGTACTGTGTCAAAGGCTTTCCGACACTCCAAAAAAATGCAATCTGCCCATCCTTCTCTTTCTTGCTTAATCTTTGTCACCTGATCGTAGAATTCTATTAAGCCTGTAAGGCAAGATTTACCCTCCCTGAACCCATGTTGATGGGTTGTCACGAAGTCCCTTCTCTCCAGATGTGTTACTTGGTTTTTACTTACGATCTTCTCCATCACCTTTCCAATTGTGTGTGTGTGTGTTTTGTGTGTAATTACCTAAGTGTTGTTTTAGGATGATGAACTACTCTCGTGTGTAAAAATCGCGAAGAAATAAACACATGATGAATGTGACTCTGTCCACCATGAAGGAAAAAATGAGACTGGGAAATTCCTTAAGTACTCTTGTATCAATCGATACATCTTCAGAAGGATGAATATTACAAGTTGGTGGTGGATATACAGTACTGTATTGGCAGGAATGAGACGAGGTGAAAAACAATGTCTTTGTTCACAAACATAAGAGTTAACTGCAGAAGGCCCATTTACCAATAAATGTGAGTTCCAGGAAGTAACAATACTAATGAGATATTAATAAGATATTGAGATAACTGTATTATTGGTCTTACTCAAATTGTTTTTTAATTGATCAATTAAAAAGATCAAAATTAATTTGGATCCAGTGGTACAGTGGCATTTTCTAGTATTTAAACAATACTTTTGTGCTTTGCTTTTCAGGTGGTGCTGCAGCCCTGTCATCCACTGCAGGAGTTGCAGTGGTTGGATCAATGTTTGGAGCAGCAGGTGCAGGTCTTACAGGTAAGCTCTCCATCCAGTCATCAGTTTGCCAATAAGTAAAACAATGCAACCCGTTCTCGCAAATTTAATAAGTCAATATTGACTTATTAGTTGCGTGCATAGGTTACATACTAAACATAATAGTTTCCCTTGAAAAGCTTTATAGAAAACACCGACCTTACCTAACCTACTTAGTATGTTAAAATAAGCATCTTATAGCTTCGTAATTACAATTGTTACTTAACCTATAACAATGTGATTGGATAGAAATGCAGTTTGTTGAGATAATTTTACCAATTATGCAGTCCTTTATTGACTACTACTACTACTGTATAATTGAATTACGATACATTCTTTCTTAAATATGTCAGTGCCTGTAAACTTATATTTGTCTGCTAGAAATAATTAGTTTTAAGCAATGAAATGAAATGCAACGACTTCACTATTTTTTTTAATACAGGATTTAAAATGCAAAAACGCATTGGAGACATAGAAGAGTTTGCCTTCGACTACCTAACTGATGGAAGTCATTTACACATTACCATTGCTATATCTGGTTGGCTAACAAAAGAAGGAATTAGGGAATTTAGTCAACCTTGGAGGATTTTGTTTCATTCCAGAGAGCAGGTAAGAGCTACCAGCTATTAAAATGTATTCTGACAAACTTTACTTAATGGGTTCTGTGGCATAGTGGGCTATATCTTTAGCTCACAACCGATGGACCCGGGTTCACTCCTCGGGCAAATCAGATATGGTTGGGCAAAGTTTCCTTTTGCCTGATGCCGCTGGTCACCTAGCCATAAAGGCTTAGCAGGGTAGTTTTGTTAGCTCTGAATAAAAGATCCAGACAGCAGCTAAATATTTGTTTTATGTAATTTTATGATAATGATAAAATATTTAGACTGCCTTATTTTTTAATTTGTAGCTTTAGTGGTAACTATAATAATATAAAAACAGTATTCATTATTCACAATAAGTACAAACACAAATTGTCTGAATTAAGACGAAGAAACATGTGAGATTTATGCCACAGTACTTGGTGAGGCAGATATATAAATGTCTGCATGAATTTATGTATCAGTTACAGTACTTTGAATAACTAAGATTTTCAAACAGTATAAGGAATACTCTTTCATGACATCATTTTGGGTTGCCATGTAATGGATATTGGATAACAACCTCCCTCTGGTTAATAAGGATTGATAAAGAAATCAAACTATGACTGTACAGTACTCAGTGGGTAAAAAAGGCTCCAGGCAGGGATTTGAAGAAATACCTGGGACCTTCTAACACAAATTGAAAGAAACTGTTGAACATCAAAAAGACTATTTCAAATATGAAGCAGAATACAATGTTTTATGTTGATGTGCAATGTAATCAGTTGCTCTTAACTCGAGTTCTACTTTTGCCTACTTTTTTCAGTATTGTTTGCGCTACGAGTCCCAGTACCTGCGAGAACTTGGACAAGCCATGGATTATCTCCTCCAGTTTGCACTTTCCATGGCTGTCCAGGAGACACTTAAATACACAATTTTAGCAGGTTTGTATTATTAGGCCAAGGTGCCTATTAAGCCTAATAACCTAAAATATTATATTTTTAAAAAAAAAAAATCCTAGGGAATGATAAACCATTCCTTGATATTTTAATATATGAGCTTTCCATTACGAAATATATGATTTATTTTTGTAATTTGAGTCAAAACTAACATAGAAATTTGATCAAATCTAACCTAACTTATCGTTTAGTGAGGTTGTGCACTGAACGACAGCTACTAGAAAGTGATTCATTATACAGTAATAATAATAATAATAATAATAATAATAATAATAATAATAATTTTTATTTGCAAGAAGGTACAATGGGTTGGTGAGATCACATAATATTGGTATTTTTACATTCATGCAAAGTCACTAACACCTTTGTTATGAGTGTTAGCCTCGTTGTTAACATTATCCTTTGTTACAAGTGACACGCATTTAAACGGTTGAGTGTCGAGCAAATGGTTGCCTACCGGGCGCTTTTTTGCTAATAAAGTGTTTGAGTGTCGAATTATTCGAGTTCATGTGAACGTATGTTTTATGAAACGATCTCATCTTCAGGCTCTTAGTCATGTGTGTTTTCTGCTACAGCTTCTAGGGTAGGTGTCTGAGGGTAAGAAAGTTTAACTTAGTACATAACATTGAAATGACAATAACCACTTCATTCATGGTTTCCCTTTTCATTTCTGTCCGACATCAGATCAACCTATCAGCTGTACCATATCTGTAGAGGGAATTCTACTGATTGATCTGTGGCACCCCATTACAAGTTATATGGCAACATAATTGTTGATCATCTTCTTGCAGGTATTATATCTGCAATAACCTGGCCATCATCACTTCTGACTCTGGCATCAGTGATTGACAATCCGTGGGGTGTGTGTTGTAGGAGATCGGCAGAGGTTGGCAAGCAGCTGGCCGAGGTGCTGTCTCAGCGGCAACACGGCAAGCGGCCAGTGACACTCATTGGATTTTCACTTGGAGCACGAGTAATATATTATTGTCTCCAGGTAATTTGTCTATACAGATATTGAAATCTACATAGTTTATTTAAATAAGAATGATACTGATCACCCTACTGTACATACTCTTAACTTGATGGCAAAAGTGTTGTTTAATAATACATGTACTGTTCAATATATGTTTAACATATATATATATATATATTAATGTTTTTAAATATATTATTGAAAGTACACTATTTATTTATGTAAACTTAATACTTCTTATTTTCCTTTGATTCTTATTAACTTCACTCATCATTAATTATTACATTTTTTTTATATATACTGTATACAAGAGTTCTTACATTCTTGTAAAGCCACTAGCACGCATAGTGTTTCAGGCAAGTCCTTGATCCTAATTTTCTCTGAAATATGACCGGTCAAATCGTTTAACAACTAGAGACCCATTCACTGCTGAGTGAACAGAGGCTACAGTTAAGGATTGGTGCCAAGTCAATCCTTCCCGGTCAGGATATGAACTCAGACCAGAGCACTCGTGAAGAGCCAGGTGTGTGCTTTACCACTGTGCCATGGGGTCTAATATATAATAAATACATACAAATTACCAGTATATACAAGTTCTAAGATGTTATTCACAAAGTTCAAACTGCAGATCATATTAACACACACACTGAAGTACATTAGACAGGAAGTACAGTTCTTCAGATTATGAGGTCATTTACTGCTAAGCGATCCTTTAATTTGGTAGAGTTTTCTGTAGAATGCCAATTATATCTGAGTTGTAATTCATCTTGTCATAAGGAGTACTATGATTTCCTGCAAGACAACTTGCATTTGGTATTACAAATTAAACTTATCAAATAAGGAATGAAAACTGCAGTATAAAAAATTTGAGATATTTTGTGATACTGTTGTGAGATTTTTTTTTTAAACCTTACTTCCCTTCCTGGGAAAGGTTTTACCACAAGGCAGAAAGGACTGCTGAATGAACACGTTAAAATTGGCATGCAGCTTATACTTGAAACTAGTGGCAAAGGTGGGAGCAACCGCCAGGACTTCAACGAAGTCGAAGTCATTATCCACAGAGCTGTCGGGTTCCTCAAGTGCCGAAGTAAGGGTAACCCACAGATTCTCACACTAAAATTATTTGGTGTGGCACTATGAATTGGGTTTGAAACCCCGAAGCAGGCCTTCAGTAAAATTCACAAGAACAATTGCAGTAATAAATGTGGGAGCAATAGAATTGTGGGCATTACATAGACAGTTTTCTATGCCCAATACTTGCAGCATCCTGCAATTAATTACTGTGTGGAAGCTATTTAATTACAATTAATTACCCCCAATTAGCATGGGTAATTAACTGTCTCATGGACAGATAATTACGACTTTAGCAATGAAATTACACCAACTCTATCACGCTGTCGCTCTCTTGATAGTCGGTGTTAATTATCCCTAATTAATATTGAGTAACCAATTAATTGCCCCATGGGTAATTAATTAGTTCGTAACTAATTTCATTGGCACAACACTGTCACCCCTCTCGACAGTGCTCATCAAAACAACGTGAATCCCCTTGGTGAAGTTAATTACCCCTAAATACTGTAACTCTCTCAATCCCTAATTACATGGTTAAGATTCCAACAAGCAAACACAGGACACAGGGCATCAATATGAACATGTACATGTAAAGTTACTGCCCCAAAGAACACACACACACACACACACACACACACAAAATTGTTCACAACTTTTGTTAGGCCAAAGCTAGAATATGCAGCGGTTGTGTGGTGCCCATATCAAGCACATCAACGAACTGGAAAAGATGCATAGACATGCTATTAAGTTGCTCCCAGAACTGAAGGGCAAGAGCTACGAGGAGAGGTTAGAGGCATTAAATATGCCAAAACTGGAAGACAGAAGAAAAAGAGGTGATATGATCACTACGTACAAAATAGTAACAGGAATTGATAAAATCGATAGGGAAGATTTCCTGAGACCTGGAACTTCAAGAACAAGAGGTCATAGATTTAAACTAGCTAAACAAAGATGTCGAAGAAATATAAGAAAATTCACTTTCGCAAACAGAGTGGTAGACGGTTGGAACAAGTTAGGTGAGAAGGTGGTGGAGGCCAAGACCGTCAGTAGTTTCAAAGCATTATATGACAGTGCTGGGAAGACGGGACACCACCAGCGTAGCTCTCATCCTGTAACTACACTTAGGTAATTTCACTTAGGTAATTACACACACACCACAAGCAGGCTTGCTCGTACTGGGGTGTGATGGATGGTGGGTGACGAAATGGATGACACAGCGAGATGGCATTTCAATGTCCAACTCGGACCCACAATTTCACTAAATTACCAACAGACTATAAATATGTAACTCTAAATATAAATCAACATAAAACTATACTATATCACTGGATAACCTTTCCTAATTCCATCTCCTGCCAGTTATCTTGGCCAATACAAGGAAATTGATGATTAACACAGCGATAACTGTGGTGGTGATGGTGGTGGCTGACCAGCCACCACGACCTGAGACACCTTCCCCAAACCATGCCGGTCCTAAAATGACTTTTGGCAGGCCCAGGGGTATGCCAAGATGCTCGTTCCCTCTGACTTCCACCAATTGGAGGAGAGCTGGCAGGCCTGGGAGAGATGCCGCTACCAACCATAAACCGATGCCTTGGTCACGTATGCCTGTGACGTAAGTGGGGGCGGAGGCCTGGGGATGATGTCACGTCACCCACCCAGGGTGACGACAAGTGCCCCCATCCCCCCAAAAACTTTTGACTTCTCCCTCTCAAGTACCTCCCTACACCACTCTCTCTTGCTACACATTTTCCAAGTAAAATATGATAAATGCTGTGTCTCCTCTCACAGAGCAGTTACAGCAGTCCTTGCAGTTTCAATGAACAGCTCTAAGCTTAGAGCTCTAAATTCTATCAACATCAGAGGCCCGAGACTGTTCAACACGCTTTCACTACACATAAGGGGTATAACTGGCCGACCCCTCACAGTGTTCAAGAGAGAACTGGATAAGCACCTCCAAAGGATACCTGATCAACCAGGCTGTGACTCATACGTCAGGCTGCGAGCAGCCGCGTCCAACAGCCTGGTTGATCAGTCTGGCAACCAGGAGGCCTGGTCGACGACCGGGCTGCGGGGACGCTAAGCCCCGGAAGCACCTCAAGATAACCTCAAGGTTGGGCTTTCTTCAGACTCCAAACATGGACATGTAATGTGAGATTTACGGTCTAGAATGCAGCCATACACTCTAACAAAATTCAAAAGCTAGCTGGGAATTCCATCCTCTCACAACTGTAAATATATAAAAAAAAAAAATTGATATTTGGAGAATGTCACAATAATGTGGGTGAAATAAATAACCCAACCCACATATCTATATAAACAAAAATGGAAATGTTCGTTTGTGCATGACCACTAATCTCCGAAAGTTCTTCACTTATTGCTTTGAAATTTTTACACAACGTTCCATTCACATCCGAGCAGGTTTTTATATACATACTATATAGATGTCACGTCTGTGATGGTAAAAAAACATGGGTTTTCTAAAAACTGTGTATTTCATGTGAGGGAAATCTTCAAAACCTCTTTACCGATTGCTTTGAAATTTTGACACAACGTTGCATTTGAATAGGCGCGTCATTTTACAGTATACCTATTATATAGATGCCACCCCTCTGACAGGTAAAAACATGCATTTTTGAAAAACAGCGCCATCTGTTGCACATAATAGCAACATGCACGCTATACTAAATATGTTACGAATTCCATTTCAATGTTTCCAATTGCATTGATAAATTTTATTTTCATAGATTTTGATTTATTTTATTTTTTATGTAATTATTTTGTGTGACATTGTGTTGTTTACCCTACCATTCATTTCGTGAGTATAGTTTATTTTTTATTTTTTCATATTTTCATTTCGTTTTTTAACTTTCTTATATTTTAGTGATGGGAACATCAGATCACTTGATGTTCCCAATTTTCTAATGGGAACATCAGACCATTTAGGAAGGCATCGGACGAGGGAGTGAGGAATGGTTTGGATGACGAGGGGACGGAAGTAAGAGATGGTGGGGGAGGACGAGGGGACAAGGGAGGGGGTAATGGTGGGGAAGGATGAGGGGACGGGGGGTTGGGGGAATAGAGAATGGGGTGGGAGGACAAAGGGACAGGGGAGTGGGCATGATGGGAAGGAAGAGGGGATGGTGGAGTGGGGAATTGAGGGGAAGACGAGGGGACGGGTAAGGGGTGAATGGTGGGGAGGACTGGGGGACAGGGAAGGTTGCTGTGGCTCAGCAATGCACATGCGTTGCTGAGCCACAACAACGCGTGGCTGGGTACTGCTATTATTAAATAAAATGAAAGGGCGATGTTTTGGTCCATCACTTTCATTTCATTTTATGTGTGGGATGAGTTAATAATGCAGTACAACCTCAATTCAGCAAACTATATGGGACCAACCCCACTTTGTTGCAGTGAGGGATTTGTTGCAACTGGAGATGGTATCAGGATACATTATTCATGCCATATGGGCTAATTTCACTTGGCAAAATTTTCATTTCAACCTATAATATAATGGACAACTACCAAATGAATGTCGACAAAAGAAATTGAATCACATCTAGGTTATTTCTCAAATCCCCAGCCTCAAAACTCATTTTCAAACGGTAGTTGGGGCCATTCCTGAGTGAATGAAAACCTTGCCAATTCAAAATGTAAAACAATAGAATTTGGTTTTAAATATATTAATAGCTTTTCCAAGGCTCCAACTATTTCTTGTAATGTTAAGAGTTCATCTACAAAAATCATCAAAAACATAATTGGATCCATATTATGAGAGTTACCGATCATACTTAATATTTCCCATGCTCTATGGGCTGATTTAAATGAGCAAAATTATAATTTCCACCTGTCATATGAAGGGCAACAACCAAGGGAACATGTCTCTAAAACGATTGACCCACATCTAGGATATTTCCCATGCCCAAGCTTTGAGATCTCATTTTCAAAGGAAAAAGTGCCCATATTTTACTGAACAAAAACCTCTGCAACTGAAAATAAAATAAACCATAGAATTTGTTTTTAAATATGCTCCATGACTTTCCCAAGGGCCCCAACTATTTCTTGTAATGGTGCCACCATCTGTAAACTCGGTCCTGACATTGAAAGCAATTCCACAGATCCCCCCTGCTTCTCGTTCATTGAATTGGGTGTGTAAATATGGCATGAAAAATGTGTGTTCCAACTGGAGATTCGCCAAATCTAGGTTAGTTTAATCCAGGTTCTATTGTCGCTGATATATTCCTTTATAAAACTGCATTTGTTAAATATCCCTTTTCTTTTGTTAGGAACTTGGTCGTCGCAAAGGTAGTGCAGGTATTATTCAAGATGCCATACTCCTCGGTGCTCCAGTGCCTGGATATGCCAAAGAATGGCAAAGTTTTAGTAAGTTATGGCTGTTATGCTTCCCGCGATATGAATGCGTGATATGTGAAATTAGTGGAACCTGGAGGTTCGCTCGGTGGGACCTTAAGGTTCACTTGGTGGAACCTGGAGGTTTGCTCGGTCGAACCTGAAGATTGTGACATTAGTGTGTAACATAATTATTTTTGAGAGTATACTAACAGTTTTAGAGACTTATGGATGTGTGTTTTATGTGAGTACTGAAGTTTAGTCTTTTGTCTATGTATAGGCCAAAGAACTTTCCCTCATTTTCACTATTTATGCTGACATTGTCTATACGAAGGTGAATTTAGTTTGATGATTTGCTTCCAAATAAAATGTAGTAGGTTTATTCTATGTTTTGTGTGAATTTGTTGGTTAACATCCATTGATTTTTTAATTTATTTACATTATTATTTAGAGTATGTGGGTTGGGGTTTGGGCCGATGAAGGTAGTATCATCAGCAAATAGTGTAGGATTAAGAACATTGGAGACATTTGGCATGTCATAGTTGTATATAAGAAGTAGGAGAGATCCTAGGATGCTGCCTTGTGGCACTCCTGTGGTTAATGGTATAATGGTAGAGTGGGAGAACCTTATATCATTGGTGTCTACATATTGGTGTCTGTTATTAAGATATGATCAAATATATATATTTCATTATGCACTTTGTATCCAATTGAAAGAAAATTAAAATTAAGTACATAACCAAATTTAAAATGTATGTTTGTCAAGCCAAAAGTTCTAATTTTGCTTCAACAAAACACAGATAGAAAATTAAAGTACTGTACTTTTCTTTTAAGTTGAGAAGTGTTATAAATGCTAATAATTATTTGTAGGGCATATTGTATCAGGACGCATCATCAATGGATATTGCCAGGGAGACTGGCTTCTACGCTTCCTTTATCGGTCATCATCAGGGAGCTTGCGTATTGCTGGACTAATGCCGATTGATTGGCAAGATCGAAGAATGTTCAATTTTGACCTCTCTGATATTGTCACTGGTAAGGCATGCTAATACAGTATTATATTTTGTCTTGTTTGCACAAATGCAGTAGACAATAGACAAATAAATTTGACAATAAATAAATAAAATATGTGAAACATTAGACAATAAATAGACAAACATTTTAGCCACATTTTATAATTTAAATATACTGAAATGTGTATAAAATTTTATTATTAACATATGAATTAAAATGAATTTATATATTTAATATATATAAATGATATATTTAAATGAATTTAAATACATCATTGCTTTACTGTTGAATACTGTAGTATATAGGTTGGACAATTTTTAATTCTCTAGGGTGTGAGTTCCACATATTGGGTCCTTTTATTTTTATAGCGTGTTTGCACATATTTAGTCCGACTCTGGGTTTCGTGTCTCGGTAGTACAATTGGTTCATTCTTGACTCACAATCGGGAACTAATGCCTTTGTTCATCTAGCAGTAAATAGGTACCCAGGAGTTGGGCAAGTGTTGTGGGATTGCAACCTGAGGAAGATAAGTAGTACACCCTATACACAGGCTGCCTGTCCTGAATTAAAGTGATTATTATTAATTATCAATGTTTACATTGTCTATGTGAAGGTGTATTTGGTTCGACAATTTGTTTCCAAATAAAATGTCATAGGTAGTTTTTCAGTTTACTGTGTTCATTGACATCCATTAGTGAATTTTTCTAGCAGTGTGTGGATTGGGGTTTGAAAATATGAAGGTAGTATCATCAGCAGCTAGTATGGGTTTAAAAACATACGAGACATTTGACAAGTCATTGATGAATACAAAAAATAGGAGAGGTACTAAGATGCTGCCTTGTGGCACTCATGTGGTTAATGATGGAGTGGAAGAGGTTATTTCATTAATGACTGAGTAATTGGTGTCTTGTTATTGAGATACGTTGAGATATAATTCATAGTAAGACCTCAAATTCTTAATAATGACGTGAAGTGATAAAACGTCTTGAAATGTTTACATTGTACTTTGCGACTATTGCTGTCAAACAACAAGGTGATATCAATGCCAACTGCTTCTAATGTTAATTGTTGTTTATAGTTATAAAAAAGTACATTAGGTTTTGTAGTAATTTTAGAGTTAGTGATGTCTTCTAATTTTATCCAGATAATCTAAAGAGAGTAATCTTTTTATACATATTCCAATGTTTCGTTGTTTAGCTTAACTTTTAAGGATGGTCTAGTAAGTTTATTTATAAAATTGAGCACAACTTATATTTTCAATCAGGTCACATGGATTACGCTAATAAAATGGATGTCATTCTGCGTCTTTTGGGAATTCGAACAAGAGATCCTGTTAATGAGGAATTTCTAAGAATGAAAAAGAGTGCATCAGATTATCCAAGCCTCAAGTCAATGCATGGAAAGATGGTAAGTGGTAAACATGTATCATGCTTTATAAATACTGTACTGTAGTGTATTCTTTTGATTTTGTATGGTAATGTGAGGAATTTCATTAACTGTTGTGTCCTAATTCAAAGTCGTTAATTTTGACATGAAGTTTGCTTAATTTTGACAGTGAGTAATTGATCTTGAAGTTAAAGTCAAGCTTAAATATACTGTATAGCATCTTATTAACGGCTGCATATATGTTGTCGATAATTATATTAATAATTTTGTACAGTATTTGTAAAAAATAACAGAATCTGTTTATAGTGATTGATTACTTAGGTTCAGTATTTGTGTTGTTTATGAAGTTACTAATTACATTGCAGACACCCTACACTATCTCATAATGTTTTCTGCTTTGATTGTGGATTTAGCATCCTTGAAGTTGATAAGGTTTTGCTCCTTATTGGTGTTACTGACATGACAGGGAGACTTCATACATAAAAACCATGAACAACACCTTATGAATTTCATCATCAGAGAGGGAAAACATTTGGAATGTGTCTGCCATCAAGCAGAAAAAGCATCATTGCTCAGCAGTGAGATACTTAAGAACAAAGGGCAATTCACCGAAAGTATAAATAGAATAACACTGTATTAATAGTGACTCCTTCATTAATCAAAACTTCATTAGGAAACATGGAATGTATAGATGTATGCAAGTATTAGACAGCATACATAATAGGAGAAATAGGAAATGCAGGAACATGAAGTGACTAGTTTAGTAGACTAAATTTGTCAAATCTGAATACATACCAAAAGCAAGATTATTCACAGCTAGTCATATTTTTTATGAAATCCTAATTACTGAATAAATATTGTAGTGTTTCATTTTATATCCAATTAATTCATGTTTGCTATTTTTATAGACTGTGTCTGAACTACGAACATCTACCTCGGACAGCACTCTTGTGTGCGGACGCGATGCTCCACTTTCTCGATCCTTTTCATCAGATGACCTGCATATATCTAGATCCACTTCTTCATGTGATCAGCAGGATAATGTTAATTTGCAAGATATTACTAAGCACAGAACACTCTCATCATATGATCTTGCTAGCAAAAAATGCATCCCACTGGGAGATATTGGACCTCGGAGTTCTATTTCTCACGAGTCTGTTAAAAGCTTAGCATCCAGTGATCAACATGTCAATCAAGCAGGGATAATTTATGATCAAGAAGCAATGGATGTTAAGGAACAAACCACATCCAAACCATTTTTTGGAAATTTTCTATCGAGGAAACACACGCATCCACCACAAGTTGTCTACCGAGAACACCAAACACTTGCTCAAGATATGTTTAAACGTAGAACTATGTCGTCTGGTAATCTTTTCGCCACAAAGCCAGGGCAGCCGGGAAAAATTGGACTTCAACGCTCAAATTCTCAAGATCAGTCAAAACAATCTATTTTCCAAATATTTTCAAGAAAACAAGAACCAATTGAAGAAACATAATCCTCAAACTCTTCAGTTTTTGGTATAGCAAACAATTAAATTTTAGTTTATAACAAGTAAAATACTCCTTTTAACTTTAAAACATGGTAATAATTCGTACATTTGGTGTTTTATCCGTGATTATAATAAATTAATCTGCAGCATGAATGAAGTATAAAGGTATATCTAAGTAAATGCTGTTAACTTTTGTCTGACAGGAACAAGTGATAAATGGCTAAAAACTGACTCATTGTACATCCCCAAACTAATGTGTACTATAATACTCTATTTAAATTTTTTATTTTTATATCATATACTTTATTGGGGAATTTTAAAATGGTTATTAAAAATGTTAAGCTGTATATTGAAAATTTTGCTATATTACGTTTACATATTCTATATTGAACCCGATAATTGTGCGCAACTGTACTGTATGCAGTTGTACATCAACTTGGAATGCAGTAAGTGATAACTTTGAATTCAGGGATGTTTTATTAGGGATAAAACAGTGTAATATTTTCCTAACCTTTGGCACTACTTAAAGTAAATGCCATTTACATGTATGAAAAGTTTTGCATCATCTTTAACTTCTTGTTTAAGCTTCCAAGTTATGTTTTGTTTACTATGAGGTTTTTATTATACCTTAAATTAGATTTTGATTAGTTCTTCATGAATTTTAAAGATATTATAGTTACTCATGAAGAGCTTTTAATGTATTTTAGTACAGTATCATTAATTTCTTATATATTTTTCTTCCCAATATTTTGTTCCAATGAGTATTTACCCAGTTTCTAACCTTTGATTTACTTATTCACTCACCTGTGTGGGAGGTTCAGCCTCGGCTTCAACATCCCCACCACTTAACCATTACTTGACCAGTATAATGCCTTCCCGACCCCTTGGGTTTCACTGTATTCACATGTGAAGATACACGTGGAGTTAGCTTCCACTGTGTCCTCTCCCAAAGTGTTGTGTATGATTGTTGAGGATAGTCCTAGTTTATTATATATATTCTTGGTTGTCCATAGAAAGAAGTGGAAACAACTTCACTTCTTATACGAGAGCCAAACCTGTGTGTGGAGTTCTTTACCAGATGTTGAAAGTGGTCCTTCATAAATTTCAGTAAAAAGGTGTAAGTTATTAAATGTCTAAAGACAATTAATGACATCTAAAGACATTCATTTAATTAAATGTCTAAAGACATTTAATGACCCAAGAGGGATCAAGAAATTTAAGATAATAGATCATTTATTTTTAATATTACAAATGGTATATATATATAATGAACTGATACTACATGTGATGAGAAATTTATGGCTGTATCATTGATTATATATTTGCATTTGCTTAAAATTAAAAGGCTAAATTAAAACAAATGTATTTACAGTACTGTACTTTTAAACCTGTCGTATCAATTCCTGTGTAATCTCACATCAGATTTATTCGAGCAACTACTGAGAGTTATCTGCCCCTCTGGCAGGTTGGGACATTACCAAGATCTGTGTATTTTGAAGTGACTCCAGCATGAGTACCTGAATATCTTCTGCCTAGTGGCAAGTGATTCTTGGCAATATAAAGGATTGTTTTCCTTTTAAGGTGAGATTTAATATCACTAATAATAGTGCTATAGAATGCTATATCGGTTAAAGGAAGTGTTACACTTAGCACTGAGTAGAACAGTAAGGGATTGTTAAGCACATTGAAAACATTTGTTATGCAGTGATCTGCCAGTATTTGCCAAGTAAGACACGAGTGCAGCCCACCACCACCACTGCTTCACTCTGTCTAATTGTACAATATGGCGAGTTTTTACTATTTTCTGGTACTTTGTACTCCTTAAACATAAAGATTATCTCGGTATTTAATTAGACAAAAAGACACATTCATTTAGCTAATGAAAGTAAAAAAACCAAATCAGAGAAAATGACTTGTGTGTCTCTGGAACAAATCTTCAGTAGCTTTGTAAAAAACCTTCTAAACCATCTCTAACTCTGGGGCCATCAAGTGGCCTGTGATGTATATTGTACAAAATGTATTGTCTTGAGGCTTAGTACATAAGCTTTACCATATTTTAAAATGTATGGATTAAAAATAATTGCTAACAAAATGTTTTATGGCAATACTGTATAGTGCAAACAAGTTATTTATACAAGATCAGCTCGTATTTCCAACATGGTCTGATACGACAGGTATTACTGTAAGTGCATAATCATTAGTTTGTAATTAAAGTTTACTGTACAGTTCTGTGATTTAGAAATACTTGAAAATTAATGTAATTTACAGTACAGTATATTTCTGGAGGGAACCTCTTCGGCTCCCTGGAGCTTATCCAGGCTGATATGAATATATCAGTATATATATAGACTTTGGCATCAGTCAGTGTGAACAGAGTTCTTAGGTCTACCAGGGACCACAAGCCAGAACCTGGCTCCCACAGAGAGGTATGAGGTGCAATGGCCTATAGAAATGCACATGTGATTTGGAGCATTCTATGTCTGCCATCGATCAGATCAAGCACCCAGAAAGGTAAGTATACCAAAAGAAACATCTATTCTGATTGAAACTACAGTACTACTAAAAGTCAAACGAGTGGACAGAACTCCCAAGTCCATTTTCCGGCCCAGAGTAACAATTTCCTCAACAATAGGCACTTCATTTACAGGCTCAAACCCCTCAAAGTCTGTTTCTGACACACATTCAGGCTACAATTTTCTTCAGCCAGAGATTAGGGTTCTTCGAGTCACTTCTTGCCAGGCTTTGTCAACGAGTTTTAAAGCACTACAAATGTTAAAATGGTTTTTCCAGAACTCTTTGAGGGTGAGTTTTGTGGCATCAGTCACTTCAAAATATTTCTGGAAAAGTGCCCTTTCATAAAGTTTCTTAAAATTCGCTATGATTTTCTGGTCCAAAGGCTGAATTAAAGGAGTGGTGTTAGGAGGAAGGAACTTTATTGCGACAAAATTAAATTTGTTCAACAATGTATCTTCCAAGCCTGGAGGATGAGCAGGTGCATTATCGAGGAGAAGCAGGGCCTTGAGTGGCAAACTTTTCTCCTGCAGATATTTTTGTATGGCAGGGCACACCAAATCATTTTCCCACTCCATACAAAATATCCTAGTCACCCATGCCTTACTATTTGCCCTCCACATCACACACATTTAGTTTTTCTGCATACTATATTTTTTGAAAACTCTTGGATTTTCAGAATGATACACAAGCAAGGGTTTAATTTTCAGATCGCCACTCGCATTTTCACACAGCACAAGCGTAGACCTATCTTTCATAGGCTTGTGTCCAGGCAATGATTTCTCCTCCGTGGTAATGTATGTCCTCTTAGGCAATCTTTTTCAGAACAGTCCTGTCTCATCACAAACACTTGTTGTGGTAGGTATCCCTCAGCCTCTACAAAATCTTTGGATTCTTCAATAAATCTTTCAGCCGCTGTTTTGTCTGAGCTGGCAGCCTCCCCATGCCTCACAACACTATGAAGACCACTACTTTTTTTAAATTTTTCAAACCATCCTCTGCTTGCCTTAAAGTCTTTTGTATCTGCACTCATTCCAGGGGTTTTCTTTACAAGGTCTTCGGCAATACCCTGGCTTTCTCACAAATGATGGCCTCTGAAATGCTATCACCTGCTAACTCCTTGTTGTGTATCAAAAGTAATAACAACTTTTCCACATCCTCAAGTATTTGTGTTCTTTGTTTCATGATTGTTGATACGCCCTTTGCCACTTTAGCACTCAAAATGTCCTTTTTCTTGGCAAGTACAGTGCATATCATTGACTTGGATTTGTTGTACTACCTAGCTAGTTCAACAACACGAGTACCATTTTCGTGCTTATGAATGATCTCTTGTTTTTTCCTCTATGGTCATTCTCACATGTGATTTCTTACCTTGAACCTTACCACTGGCTTTCTTAGAACCCATAGCGAGATATATAATAACAACTTTTATGCTCAAATTGCCAAAAATCTGAAAAGAAACTGTAAATCCTTGCGAAGAATTCAGGCGGGATAGTCACTGGGCGTGAGGCACTGGTAAACTGAGGCGCGATCGCCGTGCCACCTCGCGCTAGGTCGGCTGTACGCATATCAACAAACTCATATCCCGAGGTAAAGTTCGTAACCCGATTCAAATTTTCTGAACAAATCGGGCTCGTAACCCGAAAAGTTCGTAAACAGGGGCGTTCGTAAACCGAGGTACCACTGTACCTGGTCAGTGTTCCGGGGCCTAGTCAGCCCTGTGTCGCTTTGGGTTGGTGGTTGCAGCCAGTTGTCTTGACTTTGTGTTGAGGGGCGATTGCCGACCACCTCCCAAGTAAGTCCCTCTTGTTTTCGTCTTTAGTGATGTAGCTCCGGGGAGCCAAAGGGGCTCTCCCCCAGAAAACCAGCGTTGGATGTAATGAAACGCCATTTTCTGGGTGAGACCCGGAGGCTCCCCGGCATCCCTCCCTCCCTCCTGGTTGGCGTTTTTTCACGTATTCTGACATTACAGCCTTCAAACTGAAGGTGTTGGTAGCCGGTATGAGGGGTCTGGGGCTTCCCCCACCCCCTTTCTGGGGAGGGGGTGAGCTGTGCAGATGTCTGTGCAGCAACGTGGTGACGTCATGCTTGTTTTTCTTTGGGAGTTCTGTCCACTCGTTTGACTATTAGTAATAGTTTCAACTAGAATAAGGGTTTGTTTTGGGATGCTTACCTTTCTGGGTGCCTGACCCAGTTGATGGCAGACATAGAATGCTCCAAATCACATCTGCATTTCTATAGGCCATTGCTCCTCATGCCTCTCTGAGGAGGCCAGGTTCTGGCTCGTGGTCCCCAATAGGCCTAAGAACTCCATTCACACTGATTGATGCCAAAGTCTAATATGTCCATATCAGCCTGGATAAGCTCTGGGGAGCCTCCTGGACTCGCCCAGAAAATGGCGTTTCATTACATTCAACACTGGTTTTTTTTTGCATGATTTATTTCTTAATGTTTAGACAGTTTCCATACTACTGTGCTCTTATTTCATATTAACAGATCATTTATTCCTTTGAACACAATATATTATTTCAATGTTTTGATTCATGTAAGTGCCAATTTCAAATTTCAATTATTTCTAGATACATTAGCTGATAATTATTAAGACAAAATTTTAATACATATGATTAATATACTGTACTAAATAATATATATAGTGAGAGCGTGAGATGATGACCTCCCAAGCTATGAAGTTCCTTCCATCATCTTGTCAAAGTTACATGCTCTTCCCACATGGTTACTTGTCTCACACACACAACAATTCTCTTTATAACCCATGAAATAAACACACATTCATATTGTAAATAATATATTTTACTAGTTACTCTTATCATTAATAAAGCATAGATATACTGTATATGCCAATATCAACATTTTTGTAGAAACTGAAACCAGCGCGCATACACTTGACAGTTTGCAACAACTCGCACAATGGGTTTGCCCAGTCCATTTTGTACTTGGAGATATTGACATGACATTTTCTTAGAATTATGTATATGAAAATATGCCCAGTTCTTACTTTAACTGCCAGAAACACTTTTTAATACACACCATCCTTAGGTGGGTAAGTCTATCAAAGACTTAACTGTCTAATTTAGTTCCTATTCATTGTTTAAAGAACGTCCAGCAGTCATCCGTCAAACTCTTAGCTCACTGCACTTTAGAGAATTTTATTTTTACCACCTTTATATTTTAGTTAAACATTGTGATAAACATTGTCTACAGGGACATTGTGATAAAAGTAGATTACGAGAAAGTAGTTCTGTGCCCATGAATATTTAGTTGTAGTGTGTTTCCCAATTTTGTAGATAAAAATACATTACTGTATTTATATATGCAGGTACTGTACACTAGTTTTATAAATGAAAATTGTGCTCGAAATTGTATATTGCAGTACTTGGGTAGAGTACCATAAATGTTTTTAACTACAGTACCACATTACAGGTTATGCGTAAGTCAGTATTACTCATGACTACCACATCATTGAAAACAAAATGCTTAAAGGAAACTGTTGACCAATTCGTCTATAATTTCATACAAAATTTCATAATTTAATTTTTTTTACAGCAAGGAAAATTGCGTATTATTTGGAATCCATACAGGAATTTCAAATATGGTATAAAGGAAAAGAGGCATTAATTATATGCCTGAACATGCTTTTAACAATCATGATACGAGATACCGTAGCCAGGTAGCAAGTTATCAGATGAACTATCCAGGTAGTAAGTGATCAGATAATTATCCAGACTATATAAAATGAACTATCCAGGCAGTACGTCTTGCAAACTATCCAGGCAGTACGACTTGCAAACTATCCAGGCAGTACGACTTGCAAACTATCCAGGCAGTACGACTTGCAAACTATCCAGGCAGTACGACTTGCAAACTATCCAGGCAGTACGACTTGCAAACTATCCAGGCAGTACGACTTGCAAACTATCCAGGCAGTACGTCTTGCAAACTATCCAGGCAGTACGTCTTGCAAACTATCCAGGCAGTACGACTTGCAAACTATCCAGGCAGTACGACTTGCAAACTATCCAGGCAGTACGACTTGCAAACTATCCAGGCAGTACGACTTGCAAACTATCCAGGCAGTACGTCTTGCAAATTATCCAGGCAGTGCGTCTTGCAAACAATCCAGGCAGTACGTCAGATGATCTATCCAGGCAATATGTCTTGCAAACTATCCAGGCAGTACATTAGATAAACTATCTGGATAATATATTCAAAATATTATCGAGATAGTACATTAGCAAATGAATTATCCAGATAGCACAGTGCTATATAAGATAAATTTTATATTTTACAGCATATGTTTAATGAATTACCTAGTACAGTACAGCATATCATGACATAAATTGTCCAGTTATAGAAAATCATAAGGTGAATTATCCAGATAGAGTATTTTATATTTGAGCAATTGCCTAGGTAATACTGTACGTCATTCAATTACTTAGGGTGCATAAAATATGAATTATGCAAAGCGCATCAAAAGAAAAACTGACTTTTGCAAAATTAATCCAATTTGTATAGAAACCCAGTTTTAGTACTTAATTAAAAAAAAAATCAATCTAAGAATAATAAAAAAAATAATTAAAAATTAGTACTTAATTAAAAAAAAATCCCTCTAAGAATAATAATAAAAAAAATTACAAACTACACAAAGTATAATATACCGGAACTTGATCGGCATACTGTATTACGTAACTGGAAAAGTAAGAATATTTGGAATATATACAATATTTGGCTGTTGTTGCTTCTAAAGTGCACAGCCTATTAGTTGGTCAGAATGCTCAATTTGCAGTGTAATAGTTTTCAATATCCTGCAACAATTGCCAGCACAGTTTCCTAAACAATGTTGTTAGTTATTTTG